GATTCCAAATGCATTAAGTTTAAAAGAAAAATTCTTGTAATTGTCCATTGTGCACAAAAATGTTTCGATTCGCTTAAAGAGTTCTAGACATATGGCGAAATAAACAAAAGTGAAATTAACATTGAGGGGTCCAAACTTGTAACCTCTCTCCTTATCAAACTATTGGGACCATATTTCGCGATTGCTGCTTCCCCCCATAAATTGAGGGTCCAGAACGGTATGTTTATGTGCAAGTCTTATCTTCTTCTCAAAAAACCATGTGTTTGTTCAAAGAAAACATGCATTTATGTCTTATCTGAAACTTGAAATATCGCCTTCTGCACTAAAAGCATGTTTAAGGTCCGGCCCTTGAACTATTATGATTGAGCCATACCACTTAAAAATCGCACCATTAGATCAAAAGTAATTTAGGAAGTTAATGTTTTTTAAATTTTATTATTTCGCACTGTGCAAGATATTTCTTTAGAATTATGTATTTTTTATATCATAATTAATTCAGTCAGTAACTCAACGAACATGATGAACCTGATTGGTCTTCTGAATTGTCAAATATCACGATTTTTAAGATGACGTCACTCGCAGGTATCCAATTGTTGACTAAGATTTTCCACATAGGTAAGAATGTTAACTGAAGTGGAGTAAATTAAATACAATGCCGTATCACACATCGATTTTTTAAAATTATAATTATTTCTCATACTCGTTTTTTACTTGACGTATGTTTATTATTTGTTTATCAATTTTATTGCAACCTTGCTTTATTATAATTTTGTTTTGTGTATCTGGCAACTTAAATGCATAATTATTTTGATTACGATCTACAGCACTTCGTGCTTGCAGTAAAGTAAGAAATAAACTAAATCTTTTCTTGTGAAAGAATATAAAACGTGATACTTAAGAATATTATATTTAGCTTGCTGCGTTTCCTTGAAATAGAATGGAAAGAATAAACAAATGGCATAAACAAATATCACGTTTAAACAGCCATTAAGTATCGATATACTGGCTGACGTCACTTACAGGTATCTAATTGATGAAAAATAGATTCACTAAAAAATACTCCACATGGAATAAATTGCAACAATTATAAAGATGTAGTATTCTTTTTTCTTCATTTTAATCATAAAGATTGGAAGCTGATAGTAAAATTTTGAGGAAAAAATATCAGCACGGTTAAAAAAACGAGCAGAAATAAAACTAAAAACACGATAATAACGTAACGCGGTACGGGAGCAAAATTTATGTTTATTAATCTTAGATAAATTTTAAACCGTCTATATGTTTTTTTTAGTAAAATTTATATCTTAAATCAGAAAAAGTATTTTTTCTAACCATCGTGTTTCAAATTTCATAAGGGAAAATAAAACCATGAAGAGTCGTTTAAATTCTAGTAATATTACCGCAATTATTTTAAGTACTTTTAGGGAGATAATTTTTTACGATTTAATTAGTTTTCACTAAAAAGGGTAAATTATTTTCATTATAACTATAAAAAACGATGAGAAATAAGAGAGAGCAAAAATTAAAGCGAAAGCAAATTTTATAATTTTGAAAAAATTCAAAGGCATAAAAAAAAATTTAAAAAATTATTTATACGGTTAAATTATATATTGATAGCTATATCTTAACAATTAGTTGATTGGATTAAAAGTTGCTTAGAAAAATACTTGAAAATTATCTACTTTAAATATTAACATTAACATTTTATTTACATAGCCACCTTTTTCGCTGTTGAGGTAAACAAATATTTTTTACGGTGTATACATTCACATTTTTATTTTCTTTCCTGCTGTTGTAGCTTCAATAATTTATTCATTTTTCTTTTTCCGACAAGGCATATTTTGATGCACACTAGAATCATTGTATGGCTTCATTACAAAAATATTTACTTAGATAAACAAATACATTTATAGTACTAATACATTTGCTCTAACAACTGTTATACATAACAAATAACAAACAATTGTTATTTTGTCAATTTAAAATGATTTTTATCGCGATTACTCAGTAATTAAAATCGGTAATTAAAAATGTATCTTGTTTATCTCAACATCAAAAATGGTGACAGCAATACAAAAAATATTTTGCTGCGTATAAGATAATTAAACTGTAATTAATGTATAACAATTAATTATAACATTTATGTTCGAAATTCTAACACTTCTTTAAAATTTTCTTTTTTTTTAACCATCATAAAAAGGTTTCCCGAATTGAAAACTAAGAAGAAAAAGAAGTAAAAAAAGAAAAGAAAAAACAAATTCTTAAATAAATAGAAGTTTTCTACATTTATCTTTTGGTTTATCTACTTTCCAGAAGTTAAACTTATGTTATCTTTTCTTATGCAAGTAAAATTTTTATTCGAAAACTAGAATTTTTGAAATGATCTTTAGAAAGAAAACTTATGGCAAAAACTTAAGAAAGTTTTGTTTTTCTTAAGTATTAGTGCAAATATACATTTTCTTATTTTACCAGTTTCAGAACTTTTTCTTCTTTTTTTCACTTATTCTAAGTAAAAAAACTCAATTTAAGTTGTAACCCAAAAAAACTGAAGAAAAAATAAAACTGTGATTGGAAGTGAAAGTGTTTGACAAATATTTTACTGAATGTTTCTTTTAAAATGATGTATATTTCTGGTAACTAATATAAATAAATTTTTCTATCACTATTGCTTTGACTAATTGCATTTTTTCTATATAGATATATGGTAGTACAGGGAGGATTTATTATTTTGTTTTTAAATAATCTAGCATTTGTGATTTTTGAGATAAAGTGCCACGATGCTTAAGTGATCAATGCACTGATCATTTAGTATTTCATGCCTGGTAAATGTTCTTAGTTTGAAGCTCTCGCTGAGGAAAAAAAGTACGGTTGAAACGACCAGAATAAGGTAAAATTAATAGTGTTTCTGGCTCTATGGGAACTCAAAAAATGCTCGATAATTTGAACCTAACCCTTTGGTAATGATTTTGGTAAAATTGAAAGTAAAATATTGTTTTATAATATGAGTTAAAATTTGGTAAACGTGATAAAACTTGGTTATTTTATCATAAAATGGTATAAAAACAAGTTATTTGGTTGAATTTGATTTTCAATTTTGTATTTTTTACTAAATATGTGGTAATAAGAACTACAATTTAGAAAACTAATATTTTCGGTAAACCATTACCATATAAACTGAAAAAAATGAAAATGAATGGTTTAAGCGGCGTATAGTTTGGTTTTATTAACCAGAATTACGATTTTTTTTAATCAGAAATGTATTTACTTTACAGTACGGTTATTTCACCGGAATTTTCAAATCAGAACATTAATGATTATCAGTTTGTGTGGGAAGTAAATGTGATCAGTTCGCAATGCTAACCATATTTTTACCATGAATATTTTTACCAGCAAAAATAGGCCAATCTATCCCTCAAATGAAAAGCATATTTTGTGCTTACTTCTGATTTTTCAAAATTAAAAACTTTATGAACATAATTGGTAGAATGTAAGTTGAGGAGCAACGCTTTTAAAAATGTCACACAATAGTTTTTGTTAAATTGCATGGTATATTAGAAATCTGTGTCGAAAATAGTTTGATTTAACTCTTATTGAATTACGAAGCTTTTTGCGACTAAAACCATGTATACATAAATTATTATCAGTTAAGTTGTTTTGATTTTAATTCTGGTCGAGAAATACGTGTTGAAGATTTGCGATGCAAATCACAATAGAAATTTACCTCATGACGAAAAAGCCTTACTTAGACTTCAAGGTTTTGTTCTCAACTTTTATGAAACCCCTGAAAAAAGAAACTTTTTTTAATGCCTGCCTTTATTTGTAAAAAATGGTCAACTGAATTACAACTTAGGGAGAATGAAATCTGTAATAGAAAATTATATTATATAGTTATATTTTCATTGCTATAATAACAATATTAACAATAATAAAAGAACTCTTGCATATAATATTTTCAATAATTTCCATCACTTTAAAAAAGAAACTACTTCGGAATAACATCAGTTTCTATTAAGGATCTAATTGCTGTTTTAGGTTACTTCAAAATATAGTTGTTCTAGTGTCAAACAACCATCGTGAATAAAATGTACGATTTTTAACAGTAAAGATACTAACTGGTAACAAAATGGATGCGAAAGTACAGCTGAATTGACCTCTACTACTCCCAATAGGTGTTGTGAAAAAAATATGTAAAAAAAACTTCGTTAAAAATAACTGTGTGAAGAATCCACGATGTGGCTTATAATCATTGATTATTCACAATTAACAACTTTTACTGGTTAACTACTTGTGAACAGACACTATTCTTATCAGTAAACAATTATTATAAATAACATCACAAAAGCTAGTGTCAATTAAGATGTATACCTTTAATAATTATAGTTATAAGAATTAACGAGTTAAAAGGGTAATATTTCAGTATGATGATAAACAAAAGAGAGCTTCCAAAACAAAGAACGGTGGGAACTGCTGTTGAATTATGTACACTTTGGGAGCATCTCTTTAAATCGCGCTTACGCGGAGAGTCAGCGAGAGTTTTCAAGGAAAGTCACTTTAAAAAGCAAAATATTTAAGATACAAAATGATCAGATTGAAAAATAAAAGAAATTAAGAAATAATATACTTAGAATTACAAAAATTGTTACATAAAATGATTGTACCAGTCGCAGTTGTAAAGATACCATGTTTGACAATACATTTGGCGAGAACGGGGCTGCCAGATTTAGCAATTTGTTTTGTCGCCGAAGGTGAGAGATTAAACGCCTTCCCCTCGATTTAAAAAATTTAAAAACTTGTAAACTGTTTTCCTTTCTTATCATTTTTTGTTCATTTCAAAGCCAAGAATAAAACTGTTAACAATCAAACAAAACATATATTTAACAACGTTTCAAAAGAGAAAAATGATTCATAAACATATTTAAATCAATCGCGAGATAAAATACTAGTTTCCCAAATGTTTTATTTTTATTGTTTGCTAAAATATGTTTCTTATTCTTTTGCAGTTCTAAAACGTCCGGATGGCAGTCCAGCTGACCCAGTTCGAATGGAAAGTAGCACAGCCGCTATTAGATACAGATCATTTGAAGATGCTCCTGGATATATACCCCCGGAAGATTTCATTGACCCAGATTCAACTACGGGGGAGACAAACAGAGTTGCCCCCACTTTCGACGAAAGCACACAAAAAAACGTCACAACCCAACTGGGACAGACGGCTTATCTGCACTGCATTGTCAACAACCTTGGTGACAAAACGGTTAGTCATTATATTTTGCATCAATTATTATATTTAAATAAACAAATCACACGATATAAATACTAAAATACATCGGTAGTCTAACAAGATTAAAAAGTTCGAAAATAATTATGTATTTTTTTAAAAATTTTTATATTATGACGTTAAATTTTCAAAAAGGTCCCAATCAAATGATCGAGTCAAATTCCGAAAGGGTCCAATCAAATGATCGACGCGAATTTCAAAAGAGACCCAATCAAATGTTCGAATCAAATTTCGATAGGATCCAAATCAAATCGTGTCAAATTTTGAATGGATCCCTATAAATGATCAAGAAAAATTTTGAAAGGGTTCCAATCAAATGATTGAGTGAAATTTTGAAGGATACCCAATCAAATGATCAAGTCTAATTTTGATAGGATCCCACTCATTTTATTTTCGGTAAGGGAAAGACTGGATGTTTTTAGTCTTGCACTACTGACATACAGTACTTAAAAATTTTACTCTTCCCTTGGTTTGTAGCATGCGCATATAATAAATAAGTGATCAAATCAAATTACAAAGGGAAGAATTATAGAACAAATTGAATTTAGAATCATTGTTTAAATTAGGAATGAATGCATAAAATCACAAAAATATGTGATGGATTCCAAACATTCCTTTCCTTCTTCAAATTAAAAATGATAGCAATGATAAAAAATATTCCTGAAGTATTAATCTATTAATTTTAAAAATTAAATCTATTTATTTTAAAAATAAAATTATCATTAAATATTGCATAAATAAATTAATTAAGGCGAGGAGGAAATCTCTCTACGTTCATTTCAATTTTTAAAAAAAAATTATTTACGTGTTTTTATAGAGTCGAAAAATAATATGAATTATCCATTGAGTTTTTACAACTAGTATTATATTATTTTTGTATTATAACTGGTATATTATACAGTTCACATTGACGCTGTTATAATTTTAATTCTGAAATTACGATAAAATAACCGACGGCAGTATGTCCATCTGATTAACCATAAAGATTGTGGTTATGAACATTTTTCCCCATTACGGTTTTGAAACCAGTACAACAGGTAGGCTTAAAAAAAACCATAAATACAATGCAAAACATCTTTCTTACAATTTGCTACTAGCATAGATTCTAAACCGAAAAATAAAACTTAAACGGACTTTGGTGCTCTGCGATTAAAGTGCCATCTATTCTCGAATGCTAATTTCGTATTGCCCAGGTTTATTGATTGAAAAGTGTAGGACAATAGAAACTCATCCTATAATGAAGGGATGGGAGAAATATCGTGGTATCGTAGCTGGGGTTCGAACCCCTTTTTAACAAGTCCCGATATTGACCAACTACCTCTCGCAGCTACAATATGTACCCAGCTTCCTGGAACAAAATGTGTGCATAAGGTGGGCCTCGTTGGGGAGCATAGGCAAAAACAACCAATAAGCGATTTTTCTCACAACTGACAGTTTGGATATATTTTTTAAAATTTTTCGACCATTTTGGTTTAATATGGTAAAATAACAATTAAATAATTTTCTAATAAACAATTTTTAACGAGCTATTTTGAACATTGTATTCTACTGTATTTTAATTATATTCAAACATAAATCCAACTAACATTGTATTCTACTGTAACATTTTCTGTAACATACTACATGCATACCTTCACATTCTACTGTAATACATATTCTACTGTAACATACCTACATAACACATAATTTTGAACATTGTATTCTACCGTATTCTCGATATATTCAAGCATAAATCCAACTAAAAAAAATAAAAAATACAAATCTAAAACGTTAAAACAGACAAATTCTTTTTGCTTTCATATGAATATTCTAGGTATGCTGACCTCAACAATAAATCCTTGTAAACAGTACCAACACTACCCTATTCAAAACTGCTAATAGTGGAATCCGAGTATTTTGGTTTAATACGGTAAAATAACTATTAAGTAATTTACAAATAAACAATTTTTAACGAGCAATTTTGAACATTGTATTCTACTGTACTCTCAATATATTCAAACATAAATCCAGCTTTAAAAAAATACAATTTTAAAAAGTTAAAACAAACAAAATTCTTTTTGCTTTCATATGAATATTCCAGGTATGCTGACCTCAACAATAAATCCTTATTAACAGTACCATCACGTCCCTATTCAAAATTGTTAATAGTGGAATCCGAGCATGGCAGTATAACAAATGAAGAAAAATTGAAAGTAATAATTGATACATCTCCGGTTTTAACTTCAAATCATTCATTCAACCCATCCTCTCTCGTTTCGATTCAGTCGATTTCGGCTGCGACGTGTTCAAAGAACCACTCAATAAATTAGTGAAAAATCCATTAATCCAGCACTGTAATTCTTAATTAGCAATTTTCTTTGAGGTTCGTTTTTTCTGCCCCATTTCTCCATCAAAAGACGCGAAACACATCCTGGTTAATTGCTTTTTATAGTATAAAGGATGTAAATCTTAACGCGACTCATTAATCAAACCCGGGTAGAATTTTATGGTGCGAATGGAAAATTAAATGCCCCGCCGGGTTCATAAGAAGACCCCTTCTTCGGTATGCGCTAAATGAAGCGTGGTTTTTTTAGAACGAAATATTCGCGTGTTTGTCGCGTTGAAAATTAAAGCATAACTAAATAAAACGACAGAAGTGGAGTGGATATATTTTAACAGCTTTGTGCTTTGTTTGAGAAGTGAAAAGTTGTTGGTAATGCTTCTCTAAAAATGGTGAGGCGTCAAAAATAAATATTTTAATTTATACACATCTGGAATTATGTTGAAATGTTAAAAAAAAATTCAGTGCAACTTGTTTTCTACTTTTTTAAAAATGATTTAATGGAATATAAAGGTTTAGCTTTAACTAGTAAAATACATTGCATTAGTAAAATTATAATCTGAATTTGTTTTAAGTAGATGGCTAGTATAATTATCCTTATATTACGTGCAGAAGTCATTATTGAGTAATTACTTAAATATTTTATTAGCTTGCATTATTTAAATAAAATTAAGAGTATTTTCTATTTTAATTTAATGAAGATTTAATTTTCACTTTTAAGTTGCAGAATAATTTTAAATCGTAAAAATAATTGACAGAAAGTGAGCACTATAGAAAATTTAATAAAATATTAGCTTTAACTATATCATAAAATTTCAAAAAGAATGACGTAAATAGCAAGCAATACATTCGTTGGTGTGTTGTATTAGTTTGAAAACAAAGTTGAGCAAAAAAGTTTTTCAATCTCAGTTCATTTCAAAATTCAATTTTTCAACAATTTAAAAAAGAATGACGTNATATTTGTTTTTTTAGTTATTCTTTGTTAGTTTGCTTACTAATTGCATAGCTTACTTTAATGATCAGCTCTTACAACATTTTTTAAAATTGTGTGCTAAACACTTCCATCTTATTTTAAGATTGTCAGAGACAATAAAATCGCCGACGAAGATGCTATCACGCTGTTAAAGCGTGGGAAAATTATGAAAAGTATATACATATACACTTTTCTTTATTTTAAACTTTACTCATAATAAAAAAAAGCATTATAATTTTTATTGCATCACTTCTAATATTTGGCGGCACATTTTAAGAATTTGGCGGCACACAAAAGTGCCGCGGCACAGTGGTTGAGAATCACTGGTGTATTGTATTAGCTTGAAAACAAAGCTGAGCAAAAAAGTTTTTCAATCTCAGTTCAGCTCAAAATTCAATTCTTCAAAAATTAAAAAAAGAATGATGCAAATAGCAAGCAATACATTCGTTGGTGTATTGTATCAGCCTAAAAACAAAGCTGATCAAAAAAGTTTTTCTATAACGAAATTTAACACTTAACACAACCATTAATGAAATTTTTTAATGTGAACAAAAGGTAAAATATTAAAAAAAACATTAAACACAATTATTGATATAAAGTAAAAATTAACTAAAATATTTTTTTTAAAAAAACGAAAATTAACAAAAATAACATTTTACCCACAATAATTAAAACCTTGTGCAATGTTTTATCTTGAACAAAAGAAAAAATGAAAAGATAAAAAAAAATTCAACTAACACATGTTACACATTTATGGATGTAATGTACCTAATAAATTAATTCCAAAATCTTTTCAAAAATATTACAAAAATATTTTTAACAAGCATTTGAAATAATTAGTTACCTTAAGACATTCAATTAACTGATTCCCTTTCAAGTCCTTTTAAATTTTTTTCATTGTGAAAGTCAGAAAAAAAACATACAACTCATATTAGAGACGTAAAAAACACATGAACAACCATCATTTCTGCTTTGGTAAAAAAATGGTCTTAAATATTTTTTTTAAATATATTTTGACTACGTTTGCAGTGTCTACATAAAAGATTCTAAAAAATTGTAATAAACTAAAAAAAAATAATTATAATGGGAAGTTTTTTTTCAAAGCAAAAAACAAAAGTTAAATATTGCAAATGTTTTCATTTCTTTTATAATCTTAAAAAATATTTGAATAATGTATAAATTTGAAAAAAAAGCAATTAAAAAGAAATATAGCAGGTATGCAAATAAACAGCACACAGTTATTTTTTTATCAAAATCGCTCAAGGGGAATTACTAACTAGCACAGAGTTTTTTTGTTTCTTAATTTCATTTTTGAGCTATTTTAAGAGTCAAACATAAAATAAATGTTTATTATGTTAATAAATACTTTTAGGCAATACTTATACTTAACAATACTTATAGGCATCTTTATTATGTTCCAAATTATGACGAAATTTACTTTTAATAGCGAAGAATAAATAGTAATGGTTTGCTACCCAATCTCACAGATAATAACTATGATAGAAATACAATTTATAGTCTAATTTAATTTTAATTCTCAGGAATAAGCAGCAACAATTTGTTACTTAATCCCACTGATAATAATCTTGATAGAGATGCTATTCATAGTCTATCTTACTTTAAATTTGCAAGAATAAGCAGTAATAATTTGTTACTCAATCCCAAAGATAATAACTTTGATAT